CGATTTGCTAGAAACCCTAGAACCACAGGATCTACCTTCGATTTCACCATTCTGCATTCTCCCATCAACCTTAGTTTCCGGTAATGGAAGCTTAAGCTCTGCTCTTGTCAATTGTTATCTCCGAATTAGGGATTTAGCTCTGCCGATTTACTTCGTCGTTGCCCATCTGAGAGTGAGGGAGAGAAATTGGTGCTAGCTTCTACTTATTTCCATGGCTTCTGATCGTGGGTCTGGTACTGCTAAGCCCTTTTGGATGAAACATGCGGAAGATGCAAAAATCAAGGACGATGGAGAGAAAGACGCAGCTGCGAAAGCAGCTTTTGAGGCTACATTCAAAGGCGTCGACAATACTACACCTTTGATTGAAGCTGCTACTCCTTCTATGGTACCTGAATCTGCACCTGAATCTGACAGCGATTCGGATGATGAATCTGATTACTTGTCTAGGAAACCAATTGGTCCTGTTGACCCGAGTAAGTCCACTGCTTCTGGTGCTGGGATTGGTGGAGGAACGGCTTGTGTACCGTCTACATTTGTGGTTGTGACTAAAGACTCAGATGGAAGAAAAGTTCCTCATGGTGGAGCTTTGATTAAGGTTAAAGTGTCTCCTGGTGTAGGTGTTGGTGGTACAGATCAAGGAGGAGTTGTTAAGGATGTTGGAGATGGGACTTATGCTGTTACCTACGTTGTTCCCAAGAGAGGAAACTATATGGTGAACATTGAGTGTAATGAGAATGCGATTATGGGAAGTCCTTTTCCTGTCTTCTTTAGCCAAGGTACTGTTCTGAATCTCACTTGCAGGAATCTTATGTATGTATGCTTGTTTGTTTTGTTTTTGAGTAGAATGTTTGATGGTTAGGTCTTGTCTTTGTCTGAATCTGAAATAGGTTCTTCTTCGACTGGATTGATGGGTTCTGCTCCAACTTCATACTCAAGCCTTATAAATCAAACAATGCCAAACATGCCAAATTACACTGGTTCTGTTTCTGGGGCTTTTCCAGGGCTCTTGGGAATGGTTCCAGGCATTGCCCCTGGTCCTTCAGGTGGAGTTTTTTTGCCTGGAGTTGGAGCTTCACTTGGGGAAGTATGTCGTGAATACCTTAATGGTAGATGTGCAAACACTATGTGCAAGTTAAATCACCCTCCCCAGAATTTGCTGATGACTGCTATAGCTGCAACAACAAGCATGAGTAATCTAAGTCAGGTTCCTATGGCACCTTCTGCTGCAGCTATGGCTGCTGCTCAAGCCATTGTTGCTGCACAGGCCCTACAAGCCCATGCTTCTCAGATGCAAGCACAGGCTCGATCAAACAAAGGCTCTTTAGGTATTGTATCCTTCATTGCTTGTCTCTCTCTATATGTATACCTCAATTTTGTTTTGAGTCCTTAGTATATATAGTTTGCTTCCCTTTGTGATACTCATGAGCTGAAGTATCTTCTGATTTAGGTTCCCCAGAAAAAGGAGAAAAGGGGGAGGCATTGAAGAAATTTCTCCAAGTTAGCAATCTGAGTCCACTGATTGCAACTGAACAGCTTAGGCACCTATTTAGCTTCTGTGGCACAGTAGTTGACTGTACTATAACTGACTCAAAGCATCTTGCTTATATAGAATACTCAAAGCCCGAAGAAGCAACAGCTGCGTTGGCATTAAACAATATGGAAGTCTGTGGTAAACCATTGAATGTTGAGATTGCAAAATCGCTTCCTCAGAAACCATCTTCGGATAATTCTTCTTCATCCTCACTACCAATGATGATGCAACAGGCCGTTGCAATGCAGCAGATGCAATTCCAACAGGCTATACTAATGCAACAAGCCATGGCTACTCAGCAGGCAGCAAATAGGGCTGCAACCATGAAGTCTGCCACCGATCTTGCAGCAGCTAGAGCTGCAGAGATAAGCAAGAAATTAAATCCTGATGGTGTTGTAAATGATGAAAAAGAAGCTGACCAGAAATCGAGGTATGCTTCCAATACGAAATTATAGACATTGGCCTACCTGACCTGTGGTGTGGTCCTTTTTCCTTTTGGTTGCAATGTCTTTTTTTTTGTGAACTGACAGTCACCTCTCTTGTGCAGGTCACCATCTAACTCTCCAGCGAGATCGAGATCAAAGTCAAAATCACCAATTAGTTACAGGCGAAGACGGAGATCTCCATCTTATTCACCACCGTTTCGTCGCCCAAGAAATCATAGATCAAGATCACCATTCAGATATCACCGGCGATCAACTTATGAGGGGAGAAGACGGTCATTTAGAGATTCTAGGGATATTTCTGAAAGTAGGAGATACGGTAGATCAGATGAACACCACTCTTCCAGTTCAAGGAGGAGTAGGAGTGTAAGCCCCAAAAAGAGGAAATCCCAACAAGAAGAGTCAGAGCTGTCGTCAAGACATCGACGCGGTAGCTCATCGCGTGGGGATAAGAAATCATCTCGTGCTGATTCACGATCACCAAGGCGACGTAAGGAAACTAAGTCAACCCCAAGAGATGATGAAGAAAACAAACTGAAACTCAGAACACGTTCAAGATCAAGATCAAGATCAGTGGAAGATTCTACAGAAAAGAACAGTGAAGCTAGAGATGAGGAATTGAAACAACATAAAAAGCGGTCAAGGTCAAGGTCTCGTGAAGATCTGAATAAAGTCAGAGATATGTCCCAAAGTCCTGATGATACTAAACAGAAACACAGGGGAAGGTCCAGGTCTAAATCATTGGAAAACAACAATGGTTCTCATGAGAATACCGATGTTGTTCATGACGATGATCTGAATTCCCGTCACGCGAGGCGTAGGTCAAAATCATTGGAAGAGGACTATAATATAAAGGAGCAGAGGAGGGGAAGGTCCAGGTCTAGATCATTGGAAACTAAAAACAGGTCTTCTCGGAAAAAGGAGCTGGATGAAGACAAAAATGCAGGATCACGTCGAAGGAGGTCCAGGTCAAAATCAGTGGAAGGTAAGCGTAGTGATACCAAGGAGACTCGGAGCAGGGACAAAAATTCCAAGCATCGTAGTCGAAGACAGTCGAGGTCATCATCTTCTGAGGGGAAGCAAAGGAGATCTATCAGGTCATCCCCTGGATATTCTGATGAAAAGAAATCAAGACATAAGCGAAAGTCCAGGTCAAGATCGATAGAGAAAAAGAACAGTTTGAGAGATAAAAGATCAAAACGTCATGAAAGATTGCGGTCATCTTCTCCTGGAGATGACAAAGGACGAGGCGATAGATCTTCTCCTGTTAGTTCAGAAGATCGTAAGATCAAGAAAAGACATTCTGGATTAAAATCTGTGAAAGAGAATTCCCATTCAGATGATCAGATAGATGACAATGGAGATGCAAATTCAGGTATTGTTTTATAAACTGAAATAATTTTGTGCTCCAGTTAAACAATCTGCATGCAGATGTATTTCTTCGCCGAATGGATTTTATTACAAGTCCTCTCTTTCAGATTTTCTCAGTTGAATTGAATCAATTTTTAGGACAGTTGATGGAAGTTTTTATGTTGGCTTTCTTACTTTGATCTTAGGTTACGTACTAATTATTTTCTGCTTTAAAAAACTGTCTATATGTTTTAAATGTAATCAAAACTACACTTTAAAAGTTTTCCTTTAAATCTTATTGAAACGAGTTTTATATTCAGAACAAAGTCCCTTGACCTAGTAGAGTAATAATACAAAAAAAGGAGAAACAATACAAATAAATAACCATTACTGGTTTCTTTATGCCTAGGGGAGGTTATTGGTAGATGGATTTTTAAAGATTTTGAGAATTTGTAGATTNCATTGTTATTGGTTNATGNATTCTTTAATTCTTAATAAAATCCATTGTTATTTGTTGATGGATTCTTACATTCCTTTGAAAATCCTTTGTTATTCAAAAAGTTTATGTTTCATTGATTATTCAATTCTATTAAAATCTAATGTTATTGGGAGATGGAATCTCTTCAATTTTACTCATACACCAAGATTCTCAAAATACTATAGATATANATAAGATTTTTGAAATNCATNTCAACGAAAACATATATTCATAACACAACCAAAACCCAACAAAGAAAACAACTATTATTATTTATACTCNATGTGAACATATATATTCATCAATGTATCAGAAACACTAAANTTTTTAATTTACTATAAGACAAAAAANGAGAAGAACTTGCTTGAATATCAAAACCNAGATTTTAAAAATATANTAACTAATCTCAAATTATAATTTCGATTAAACAAAACTATCTCAAAACACAAATTTTGCAAAAC